ACACGGAATCATGATACTGTGCCGCATGCAGGCGTGCGGGCGGGTTGCCTACTCGCACGGGGCCATGAGGAGCCGTGTAGGCAGCGGGAGGGTTACTCGATCGGCGCCGCTCGGCCCTCGGAGCGATTAGGCGGCAGACGGGTAAACGGTTAACCCCGGCTCGCAACTTGCACTATACATTACGTAAACCTACAGAGACGTATAAACAACACAAAATCCGACGGAGTTTTTACACCTCATCTTAAAAGAGAGAGAGAGAGAAGGGAGAAAGGGGGGGGGGGAGGTACACGCGCGCGTACTCAAATGATGTCCGAGAAGAGATTTTTCTTGTTCATTTTTCAGAGCGCGTCGTTTTTCTCCGTAACGACTCCTGGTGCGCGCCGGGGCGGCCAGGACGACGACGACGATGATGCTGATGATGCTGATGAGGCCGGCCGGGGGGGCGGGACCCTGGCCGGGGCCCTGCTCGCTGCCGCTCGCGCTCATGGGTCGGGGAGCGACACCACACTAAGCTCATCTCGGCCTGCTCCAGCCCGGCTGGCCCAAAGGCTGGCTGGCCGGGGGCCCGCCGTGCTCTGTCTCGCTCGCACCACCGCCCCCCCCCGGCCCCGCCGCTCGCGCCCTCTCTCTCTTTCTCCCTCGCGAGCGCGCCCCGCCGCCCCTTCCGAACTCGTCCTCGCCTCCTCCGGGTCGATACGAGCGGCTCGACACGGACCGCCACGCCCCACCCCACCAGTCAGCTGTTGGCGGAGGGGGTGGCGGGGCTGGCGGCAGGGGGCACGGAGCCTGTGGGGGGTGGCTGCGCCCCGAGCCCAAAGGGGGCACGGGCGAGCAGGAGCCATCGGAAGGGGTAGTAGGGTGGGGATGGGGACCCCGTCACGCAGTCACCAAGAGAGAGCACTGTCACCTCACTGTCGTGCGAAAGGCAACGAGGATAAATGAGTAGAATTTGGCGACACGTTGATTTTGGAAAAAAAATTGCCACCTCAAAACCGGCAATACATGTCGTGTCACCGCTGCAAAGGAGACGAATTTGTTTCCAAAACCCCTCTCATCCCCGAACAAACAGTGGGGAGGATGCGACACGGCGGCAAAAATATCAATCGCCCCCCGGGAAAGAATTTTCCAAAATGAACGTGTATCCAAAAACAATGGAACGTTTTTGTGTACCGTTCCAAAAGCAGTGCCGCCGACGCCGTGGAGTGTCGCGCCACCTGCCATCATCCACCGCCTCCCCTTGGTGAGCGCACTAGGCCGCGCCGTGCCTTGCCAAAGGGGATTAGGGCCGGGCGAGGCACGGCGCCTCCATCACCGACCAGAATCTCGACGGGCGCGGCACAAATTGCCAATGATACGGCACCGCTCCAGGCCCACCCGACAACACCGAGCCTGCGCACCCCCAGCCTCTCCCCGCCCCACCCGGCGGCAGCTCTCCGGACGAGGGGAGAGGAGTGGCGGGGTGGGGAGGCAGGCGAGGCCCTTGTACATCGGAAACCTGATTGCCAGCAGCCTGTCTAACGGCGGATGTCGGGGCGGAGGGAGGGAGGGGCTGAGGGGAAAGGAGGGGAGAGGGGAAAGGAGGGGAGGAGGGCGAGGGGAAAGGAGGGGAGGAGGGCGAGGGGAAAGGAGGGGAGGGGGGCGAGGAGAAGGGGGAAAAGGGCACGTGGGACACCCCTCCGAGAGGACGAGGGAAAAGGACGACTTTACGCGTCTCGTCGAGTTACATCATGATTTTAAGGGGCGGCAAATAATCGTGTCGGCGGAGCTCTTCGCCTTCGGCAGCGCGCGGGTCCAGCGCCGGAGAGGAAGGGGAAAGGGGTGGGGGGGCACTCAACACGTGACGGCGCCGTCACGTGCAGGGGCCGTGGCGAGTGAACCCCGCGGTCACCACGCCATCGAGGGAAAAACGTTAACACTTCGTGTAAACTGCGAAACGAACCCATGATAAAGAAAACTAAATTATATATCCTAATGTAAATAAAGAAGTAAACATTTTTAGTTGTACGTGGTGTGCTTGGCCTATGCTGTCATCCCATATTGCGTCTTGGCCCCTGCGGCATGAAATGGTATGCAAACCCACAACACTGAACATAGAGGTGTTCGCTCTGACCGAGGGGACCGAGGCACTCACCACCTGGTACCTGGGTTTTAAACAATGCTGTCGGTGTGGTAGTACGAATGTGTGCACCGTAGAAAGTTCGATTGACCACCAGAAAGCTTGGTGGCTGTATAAACATTCTAGAAATTTACTTCATTTAGCTCTCTGTTTTGGGCTTGGGTGCACTGTCAACAAAGGGGCGGCGGGAGTGGCCTCGAGCACAGTGTCTATTGTTGACGGTATTTCGTGTTAACTGAAAAACAACCCCCTGTTTAGGAATTTAATTGGCATACAAAAATTGAAGTTAGTAATTTTTAAGTTGGGATTATTAAGATTTGCGGCAAAAATAGTACGGAAATGGCGTACACAGCGTACACCGAATATTGTACAGAGCCGTTACGT